CAAAGGCCCAGGTCAGCAAGTTCTGACCCCGAATTAGAAACCGTTCTCTCTCTTTCTAGTACAGGACTCCTGGTGGCCCCCAAAGAATGAATTATCAGTCAAATGGAAGTTGTCTCGAAACAGCCGGAATAGAAATGACACCCTCCAAAATTAAAATTAGAGCTGTCAAGAAAAAAACAATTACTCATAAAGGACCTTAACGGCCATTGCCCTGGCAGATGTCACCTTAAAGAACGCAACACACAGGCTTCCACCACATTACCTGTAATCTGGTCACAACCCCCCCATCACAAAAAATCCAACTCACAGTATAATACATTTTTTTTTTCATTCTAAATCAATAAAGCTATGGTTACACCGCATCTCTGCCTCTTTTTTAGATATCACTCAGGTTTTGTTTGGTTTATTTTTCCTCCATAGAGCAGACCCAATGAGTTTGGTCCTACGTTTCAAGGTAATTCTAGAAACCATCGGAACGTCGCAGAGTCTGACTGTGACAGCACCCGGACGCCCTTTCACCTCACACTAACAGGCCACACGCCAACTGAAAGGCGAGGCGACAAAAAGCACTCGATTAATTCCTTCTCCGCGCCATCTCGGCTCTCCTGCCGCTCGCCGTTCGCATTTCGGCACCTGGGCTTCCCAACCCATTCATTCCGGGGCCCCACAGTGACTCAGCAGCGAGCCGGGCAGCAGGAGGCTCTGCCGGGGCTGCGGGAAAGCGAGCCCGGGGAGGCTGCGCGCGCTCCGCGCCTTCCCGCTCCGGGGCCCAAGCCGAGAGCCGCCTGGCAGGTCGCCGTTTGGGGTCCTAACTGCCCGGGTGAAGACGCCCTGCACGACATTTTCAGGGATTTTAGTAAAGCATCCATCTGGCAATCAGTAAGCAAAACAGATTACACAATTTTCTGGAGCAAAGTCTCCGTGATTTGACGCGTGGGGGGAGTCAAGAGAATAAATTCGCCGAACCCCTGCAACAAACGCGCTGGAAATTAACCCCTGCAAGCCGCGACTGCCTCGCCTTGTAGACGCCAAAGACACGGTTTCCCTAAGAGCACCAAGCCCGCTGACCCCCAAGGAGGCGCTGACCAGGTAGTTCGCCCACGACCCGGGCGCACCGCGGCTCGCGGTAACGTTACGACACTTCGGCCACATCGCCAACCTCACCCGCGCTTCTCGTGACTGCAAACTGACAAACACTTACGCCCTGGTGACAAGGTTTCGAAAATTCTAATCGTACCCAAGCGGTAACTCACGCAGGGACGACACCGGGATCAAAAATTCCTAACTCGCGCCAGGGTGATACCAGGGTCCGGAAACCGTAAGTCGCGCCAGGCTACGCCGAGGTCGGGCCACCCCGACGCGCGCAGGCGAGGCCGCCCCAGGGGCCCGACCCCCGACCAGAACGCGCCCGGGTGCTGCCCGCCGCCCACCCCCCGGACTCCTACACCAGGAGTCGCCCGCCCCCTGCACGGGTCCGGGACCCGACGGCCAGCAGGCGGCCACACCCCCTAGCGCCTCGGCGGAGCGCACCCACCTGCGCAGGCGATCGCGGCGCACCATGGCCGCCCTTAGCCCATGCCGCCCGC